CTAGCGAGCAACCTTCCCCTCCTTTCCCGTAGGTAGGCGAACTACGTTGACTCTGATTTCTCGTTCCAGACGGGAATACGTAGGCATAAAGTGCGATACTTTGCCGAGTCATTTTTTTTATTATTTTCATTTTCTTTTCTTTTAACCCCAGACCTTTAGCGTAGATAGAATAACAATCCATACCCGAAAACAAGCGTGGATCCCGTCGAGTACGACGGACGTGAGGGATGCTAATACCTTCCCCTTGCGTAACCGACTCCCGAATCCAGGTTTTGGTTGCGACGACCATACCTTTCCCATGTTGTGCGAGGTTTACTCTGAGCGTTTCCTTTCCCTCCCGTGGGATAAATAACGCACGGTGGCGACTCTTCTGTCAGCCGGCGCCGATTTTCGCAGTAGCGACATATCCCATCCCTCTTCTTGGGCCCCCCAGCACATGGCTTCTTCCTTCCTCCAGATGAGGAGCCATTAACATTTTGAATCTTTCCCATCTTTATTCTACTTTCCACACGTTCGCCCGCCATGACCAAGTTTGAAAAACCCGCAGAAGTATAACCTACCAGCCTGTCATAGTATGGACCCTGAAGTGTGCCCATAAACATATCCACCAGTTCTCTCTCTATCATAGGAGGTTGAACTCGTGCAGCCAATTCACGCTATCTCTGGGCGTACTTCTTAAAACTTTCATTCCCCTTCTAAGCAAGGTTATTTAGCTGTGTTCTATTGAGTTCCATATCAATATTATATTGGTAGTGCTTGACGAAGGCCTCCGCTAAATCCCTCAAACTTCTAATGTAAGTCCTTTCCAGTCCCATGTACTATTCCAAGGACGCCCCATCTAGGTTGTCCTGGAAGAAGTGCATGAGCAACTTTTCATCATCAGAATAGGAGGACATCTTCCAGTAATAGGCTCTGAGGGGGAATTGTCACACCCAGAACCAAACATGGATCAATCATATCAAGTCCAAAAGCATTTTGAATTTCGTAAGCCTACACCTTCTCCTCAATCATTTTAAACTACTTATCATCCTCCGATGGGAGACCAACATCTAGGTCGTGCATAGAAAATGCATCTTCATGTCGGTCTTCCTCCCAATGATGGTTGTGACCTCCACCAGCTCCATGAACAGCGCTAACACTTCCTCCGCCTACACTGCCTCCGCCAAGAGGAATAGCACCATCAACAACACCTCCGCCAGGAGGAATAACAACTCCAGCGCCTTGTCACTACTCGAAAAAATGTAACGGCAGAGAGGTAAAAAGTGGAAAAACAGAAGAGTCGCCATTGAAATTTATTTATCCCAAAAGAGGAAGGGAAAACATTGAGAAAACCCCAAGAAGGAAATGGATAAGATGGTCTCGCAACCAAGAGAATGGGTTCGGAAGCCGGTTATGCGAAGGGAAGGTATTAGCACATCTCACATCCATCGTACTCGATGGGAACCATTTACTTGTCTCATGTGTAAGGATGTTGCCAAAGGATATTGCTTTCTAAGAGTGTTCTAGGAGGGAGAGAGAAATATTGGGAACAAAGAAATGAGAGAAAAAAGAAGGTGAAAGAGGGAGGAGACTCGGTAGGACTTCGCAGTCCTATGCCTACATATTCTCAATAGGTATGAGAAAGTCAGAGTCAACGTAGTTCGGGGGACTACGAATGAAAAAAATGGAAGGGTGCTCGCCAAGGATTGGGGCCCTTGTGCCTACATATCTTCACTTAAAAGAAATGAAGAATCAACGCGTCCATAGTTTGGACTACAGTTTGGTATTTTTTTTATAGACGATGCTATCATGCGCATTCTAGCAGTTAGGTGTATTGCAGCTCGCTTGTGGAGTCTTAGGCATTACCTGTTTGCGATAGAACGAACGTAACATGTCCTTTTTTGAAAAGATTAGTTTTCGCCATCAAGGCAAGATGCCACATTTGATTTGTTGACAATTGGTTTTAAAGGGTGAAATAAGTCCTCAGATAGTAACCCCTTGCAGATAGTACCTAATTCTTTATCTAAAAAGATTTATTGTGAAAAAAGTGTGGCAAATATAGTCACGTCTTTGTATTGAAAGACAAGTATCGAGACTGGACACTCTAAAGTGAGTATCCTAATACTCAGAGAGGAAGAAGTCTTCACTCAATCCTCTATCTTTAGTTCAATATAAAGAGAACCTTATTCTCTTATTAAAGATGTTTTGATTTTGAACGATAAGTATTTTATGATAGTGAACCCTAAAGGTAATGTCAAGCACTTGGGATAGGAGAAGGCCTTCGCCTAACCACTCCACAACCATCCAAATTTATTAAGAAAAGAAGTTTGAAAATGCACTTGGTACAAGACCAAAGTTTTTAGACTCGTGGAGACAAAAAGAAATAGAGAAAAGGTTTTGAAAATAAAGGGTGGTGAATAAAGCAATGTAGGTTGATGGCGATGCACAAGGCAATTGACTTACAACGGTGAGGTACATACAAGGTTAGTGTGGGGTTTAAAAGTGATAAGAGAAGTGAGAAATGAGGAGAGGTGGAACCCTAAGATACAAACCAAGTTAAATAATTTTGAAAATGACTTGACATTGGATCAAGTCTTATCTGTCCCTTTTATTAAAAAAGTGTTCTAACCTAGATTCATTTTATCTTTCTTAACCACCAAGCAAGCAAGCATAAAGGAAAACTAAGCTATTAGATTGTAAATAAGGAGAGGGAAACATAGTGCCCACTAGGGGAGGGAGATGATATATGATACATGGAAGGTATGAGTAAGAATGTACAAAGGTGCACTAAAAGAGAAACATAAAAAACAAGACAAAAGATCAAAATCAACAAGATACGCAATGAATGATCACAAGTGCATAAACATGTAAAACATGAAGCAAATGATCAAGACATGTAATATATGATATGAAAACAATATCGGCAGCAACCACATCAATCCACATATCATCAAAGATCAACAAGGCAAGATATGAGAACAATCTCCAAAGCATGCACAAAATACAAGTCAAGCAATCTCACAATGAACAAAGGATCATGTGAAGTGTGTGTGAGATAATGTGATCATGAAATGAGGGTACAAAAATCTTGACCAACAAGTTAAACATCTTACATGAAACATATAAAGATCAATAAGCTTCAACTAGCACATGTAAAGAAGTGCCAAAACAACACTAACTCAAGAGGTAGCTAAATGAAACACTCAAACAATGCCAAACTTGTAAAATCAACTAAAAATAGGAAAAAGGTTCAAAGATCATGAAACCGAAGCAAGAAAAACCTTAAGGTAGTATGTTATCATATTCCAAAATGCAACAAACTATAATCAAACTTAATTAGTGTTGCGGTGAGAATAGGATATCAAGTTATTGAATGAAATTGAATCACAAATCGTGAATTCAAAACCGGTCTTTGATTTATCCGAAGGAAAGGTTAAAGAAAGAAAAACCTAATTTGCATCGTAAACATAATGCGGCGAGATCTAGGGTTCGGGGGTTGGTTATACCTAGGGAAGGTGTTAGCATCCTAAGCATCTGTAGTACTCTACAGGAACCTCTTGTTTAATATTGTGTTATTTGTTATCTGTTATATGATATGCTAAAGGGTTGAAGAGAGGCCTAAGGGGTTAGTCCTAAGTATACTTGCCAAGAAATTGCATCTTATGCCTACGTATCCTGACGGGAATGGAATCAGAGTATTCGTAGTTCCCCCTTAAAGAGGGTGAGGAACTTCTTGACTGTGGTCAAGGTTCCAAAGGGAAGTAAATATTCATAGAGAGACACTTACATAGAGTGCGGCGGCTCTGAATCTATGTTGAGTTAAGTTGACAGAGGGGCTAAGTAAGTAAGTAAGTATCCACGACGGGAGCTTACATGGAGTATGACGACTCCTGATCCTAAGGCTAAGAGCGAGGGGAATGATAAATGGGTGTCCATGGCAGGACGTAATAGGGAATAAGGTGACTCCAATCCTAAGGCTAGGACATAGGAAAGGTTTGAAAACAAGATTGACGTGGCAGTCAAAGGGAGAGACCCCTTCCTCGGGGAATGTAAAGTGCTTGGGCAAGGAGATTAGCCTAAAGTTTAACATAAATCCAATAAATAAGAAATGAAAGTGGATCTAGAATATCTTAAGGGAACAAAGCGAATCCAATAATAGATCGAAAGCGTATCTAAAATTAAACAAGATTTACAAAGGTTAATTGATTAAAAATCTAAAGTTCACATGATTTAGTAGAACACTAAAAGTTAAAAATTGATTATTTAAAATAAACTTAGATCATAAAATAAATAAAGTAAATGACTAGAAAATCTAAATATTTTTAAATTGTCTTTATTTGTATTTTTTATTATTTGCTAAAATTATGATTGTGAAAATTAATGAAAATTTGAATTAAAAACTAAAAACTAAAAACTCTAATTTATTAAAATTCTGATAAATTCTTAAAAATTCTAAACTGGAAATTATTGTTTTTTAAAATTCTTAAAATCCTAATTTATTAAATTCTAATTTATTTTTATTTTTATTTTTATTATATTTTTTCTTTTTATTATTTATTATTTATTATTTATTTTTTTTATTTTTGAAAAAGTTGGGCCAAGCCCATAAAAATAAAAATAAAATTACAACAAACTAAAAAAACAAAAACACAAAATAAATAAATAAATAAAATAAAATAAAAAACAGTTGGACCGGTGGTGGTCAAACCCACCGGACCCAATCCAAGCAATGATAACAAAACGAAAGGGGTTTTCCGGAAACCCTAGTTCCCGTTTCTTCTTCTTCCTTTCTCCTTTCCCTCTCTCTGCCTAATCTCCCTCAATTTTCCTCTCCTTCTTCGTTTTTCGCTGGAAGCAAACACCTCCGCCCTTGAATCTCGTACTACTTCCTCTCTCTTCTAGTTCACCGTATTATCACTCTCTCGCTTGACTCCTCATGGCTTTCTCAATGTTCCTGCATACAATCCAACATTATCAATTAACTTGTATTGCCAATAAGAAAATAAATTACCGATCAAGGCTTAGGGGCGGATAATCTGTGAATCGGCGGCGGAATTGAAGAGGTATGCGGGTCCGACGTCGTGTGGTGTTGAGGTGGGAAGGTTCCAAAAGCGTTTTCCAACGAGTTTGAGGGCTTTTACGCAAGCGGCGGCTCGACGATGTCGATAATTCCTAAAGATAAGTCTTAAACCCTTACTCCCTTCGCGGTTTGGCCGTTGAGTGTGTATACATGAATCTGTTTTTTTAGTTTTCAGTCGTGGTCCCCTCTTCTTTTTGAACATGTTTGAACACGTCGTGGCCCCTTTCCTTATTTGTGTGTAACCGTGTTCTAGTGATGCAAGTGATGGATGAGAGGGTTTACGCATCGACTGGATTGCATTGGTGGAAGTTTTTTTTTTGGAAAAGAAGACGGGCTGCTGCGGACTGTGACCTCAGGATAGTGTGACTTCCTCTTTCAAACACATCTGCATATATCTCGATTAATCTTAAACTTTCTTGACCGTTTTGTTTTAATGTCGACTAAATACAGGAAGCTTGGAGATGGCAGAATCGGCTGTGCAGTAGAAATTGTGGGAAAAGGTAGGTTGCGTCGGAGACTGAAATTGATAGCGAGGGAATGGCTAGAGATTGTTCATTTTGCAGGTTTCTTTGACTAATGGGCTTGTTTTAATGCTAGAACCTGTTTTGGAAATACATGATAATGTTTGGTGCTAACTTATTGAAATCTATATTACTAAAATTTTATGATCGATTTATCAATGAGCGTGATGTTTGTCTTGGAATTGCAGGATTGGACACCAGAAAGATTTGATGGTTTCACTATTATGTTTCGTACCGATGACATACCACGAAGATTTAAGTGTGACTTTAAAACTAACAGGAGGACCATTTCAAGATATTCGAATTCCTTTATAGGACCAATTGGCGACGAAGTAAGATTACCATGAGCCGTATGTTGGCTCTGTTCAGGATGCTCACTGCCTGTACCTTTTAACACTAGTCAATGATGGAGAAGGATTTATCAAAGAAACAGTCTGAAGCTTCCCACATAGATTTAGAGTGTGATCCTAGAAATTTATTTGAACATTGGGTTGTGTAAGACTTTTAGGGATCCAACCCTTATAATTTTTGCTTTTAGATTTTGGTTGTAAAAACAAGTTGATGATGACAGAGTTCGTGGCTTGCGTAGCATGTATTTCTCAAATTCTTGCCTTACATTTAAACTTTTTGGGTTATTGTGCATGGCTCTTCCATGTTTTGCTATTATTATATTCTTTTGTATATATTTGGAAAAAGTAAACCTCTCGCCACACTCATTATCCCATGAGAAACATATTCAATCTAAAGGAAGCTCTTAGGATGCAAATTATTGAGAAGTGTATAATGATCCAATATTCCAACCGTTTCAGGCTGAAGGTTGTATAACCGTCGTCGTCCAGTTGTAGGTCGACACTTTTGCATTAAATTCAACAATAATTCCATAATTTTCTCTTTTTTATTGGCTTTGAAGTTCCAAATGCTTCAAATTTTGAATTGTCCCTTTCCCCAAATTTAATTGTTTCCGCCTCTTGAAAATAATCGTAACACGTAACCTTGCAATTTGGATTCGTAACCTTGTTATATGAACATTTTGAAATTAATCTAAAAGACCTTGAAGTATGACCAGAAGCATCGGAATCTCTTGCTATTCACACGATTGACAATGGACTTGGTCCTTACAGCAATGGGCTTTACCCTTAACTTGACTTTGAATATCTTAACGAGCTTTACCATAAACTTCGTATTGAAACTCCAAATGAAACTAACAATTAAACCCCAAGTCTTAACTGTCACTTTGACGTCTTACAACAAAACTTAATTTAAAAATCTTATCCACACTTATAACCTCACAACATCAACAAGAGAAATCCAATTCATTCTTTTAAGGCCAAACAATCTTAATGATTCGATCTCTTAGATAGGAACATCTTTAACTTACGAACCCTCAGGGCGAACATTCCTTTATTCCTTCTCTTACAAACAAAGTACTACCGCAAAATCTTACTAGCACCCCACAATACTTCACATCAAAGGCAAGAAGACTTAATCTCTCCTGTGGGAAATCTCTGAGAAAATTTGGAGAGAAACATCGACTTTGTACTGGTTATGGGGGGGGGGGGGGGGTACAAGTGTGAGGGTATATCATTTCTTTATCTTCGCAGGGATTCACCACAACTTGTAGGGGATTAGGATCACACACAAAGCTTCAATAGTGTTTGAATCTCTTGTGGCACGCCTCACTTCACAAACAAAACAAACAAATTAGTTAAAATGGTTAGCTATGCGTGAATGATTGACTTAAGATGATATGCAAACACAAAGGAATCTAAGGGTAAAATTTGGGGTATAACAGTTGCCCCTATTTAAATATCTTCACCGAATGATATGAACGAAGGAGAACTTCACGAAATCATGGTGAAAGGTATTTAAATACAGATAACCAAAAATTTTACCCTTAGATGCAATGATATGCAATGCTATGGACAAAACGAAACTAAACTACAACTGCTGACATGCTATGAATTCTAAAATGATGAATATGATTGAATGGTAAATGCAGACAAAAACAGACACAAACAAGGATAAAGCCAACACAATGAGTAACCACTCATTAGAGATGACAATGCACTGGGGGAACCAAAATGAAAACTGGAGAAATCTAAAGTGACGGATCAACAAGTTCAAGCATGACCAATTGACACTTTAGAAAGAGAGACAGCAAAAGATCCTCAATGGAGATAGAACCGAGAAGACGGCCTCCACCGGGGAAATATCCAGAGTAGTTGCTCAACAGGCTCAAGCATGATCGACTGACACTCTAGGATAAAAGGTAAATCAGGATCCATATGGCAATAGGATCATGCAAACAAATCCTGGAGTTTTCAGACAAGAAATAACATCCAAGCTACTGGAAATTCCTTAAACGAAGAGATCAAACAGGATCTTCAGGAAACGTCATGAAAAATACAAGGTAATTAAAACTCTTCTGTATGCCAAAATAAATTGGACTTCACGGGGAAATGCCTTAATAAGCTTCTCAAAGAGACTGCCACTTATCGTTGCAAGGGAGTTAAACACCACCAAAAAGGGATAAGCTTCTCGAAGAAAGAGACTGCCACTTATCTGAAAAAGATAAAATGATAAGCTTCTCAGGAGACTGCCACTTCTGGTAAGGTAATGGAAACAAGCTTCTCAAGGGAGACTGCCACTTGTTACTGGAAATAGTGAAATATGATAAGCTTCTCGGGCGAGACTGCCACTTATCTCGAAAAATGGATATAGGATAAGCTTCTCTGGTGAAACTGCCACTTATCTGGGGATACGGATAAAAATGATAAGCTTCTCCGGAGAGGCTTCCACTTATCGTGCATTAAAATGATAGTAATAAGCTTCTCGGGTGAGACTGCCACTTATCAGCAAGAAAGGTAAGCAATGATAAGGATGATAAGCTTGTTAGGCGAGACTGCCACTTATCTGGTAAGTAATGTGGTAAAAATGATAAGCTTCCCAGGAGAGACTACCACCTATCAACAATAAGGAGTTGTAAAAGGTTCTGCTTGATATATAGTGCAAAATAAATGCACGTCCAGGTTAGGTTTGGCGACTCATGGGGACCAACGTTCAATCTAGAATCGAGCTAGAAAGAAACTGTAAAACAAGACTCCAACCATTGAGGCATGAACTCAAATGGGGATTTATCTTACCCATGCATGGAAAAGATAACTAAAGTAACCATCATCCACGAGGGTTGAACTCTGTGGGGAAATTAGAAATAGTAGGTATTTTATGCTTAAGGTTGACGACTCTACTTGGAGAGAAAAGACAAACTCAGTTACTTGGCGGTAACCACAGCCAAAGTAAATGACATAAGACAACAAGGATAACAAACATGCAAATGCTAAATGTATATGTCTATATGCTTATGAGATGAATTTATGTATGTCATGCCTATGCATATGCTGATAAAACAGACAAAAGGAGGAGCAAACGGGAGATGAAATAAACATCTCGACGAGGATACTCGGTAAAACTCTGCAAAGGTACATATCTATCAAAAGATGGATAGAAAGTCAATAGGCGGAACCAAAGTCTTGCTTCAAAGTTCCAAATTCTCTAGGGAGAAGAACATTCTACTTGGGGGATATAATATCATGACTTCATTTGAGGGACTGCCATCATGAATCTGATTTTCTTATCAAAGAGGACTTGTTCACTGGAGAGAGTCATCTTGTGATTAGAGGATTTATGGGAGATAAAATAAATATCCGCTTCATTGGGGAAGTATGGAGCTAAGGCAGCTTACTGGAGAAATTATAACAACTTCAGTGAGGAAACCAAGATGATTCCAATGGGGAGTGAATCCTCATCATTGATAAACATGTATCACTTGATGGCTACAGAGGAGATGCACTATAGTCCTAAAAATCAGTGGAGATTACAGGATCGGTCCAAAAAGTATTGTCAGCTTATGCTTCGCTGGGAATTTTGCTGAGCAATGGTCTAAAAGTGCTCCTACAACATTAAGACTTTCTGGGGAACAATGATTTCCTTTAGATATTTCCACAAGTCAAAGCAACTTTATATCTTTTTCAAGTGTTTTCAAAAAACGGTTTTAAGTTTTGAAAACTTTTTACTTTCAAAATTATTATTAACAAATAACATCTTGCATAACAAAAATGAAAATAAAGATAGCATAAATGGCAAAAATTGAATAAGCAAAAGGTCTGATTTTATTGAAGAATGGTAGCTTTCTAATGGCAAAGCTCCATGGAGTATTACAATTGAAATTGGAAATAGGGAAAGGTTACATTGAATCCAACGACACCTATTGACCCTAATAACTAAGACTACCCAAAATCTTGCTTCTGACAAGAGTGGTTGGATTGAATTTGATCTTCTGTAAATGTTCTTTGATGATCAGCATCATCTGATGCAGTGAAATGCCTTTGTCCCTAACTTTTGCTTGGATCTCCCTTTCGAGTTTTCAATCCACCGGGATGCTCATTTTTGCCTAAACCGTCCTTTCGGGTTTTCAGCTTAGCGAGTTATTATTATTTTTTATTTCTTATCCCTAGTTTTTTCCTGGATCTCCTTCATAGTTTATGATCCACTGGGATACCCATTGTTTCCTAAGTCGCCTTTTCAGGTTTTCGAATTAACGGGTTTTTTAGGCATAATATTTTCGGATTGCATCAGAGTTCACAGGATGTGCAAGCTCTTCACCATCCATTATTGTGAGAATTAGCGATCCTCTAGAGAAGACTGTCTTTACAACAAAAGGGCCTTCATAATTGGGCATCCATTTCCCACACATGTCTTTATGAACTGGTAAGATCTTCTTAAGTACAAGCTCTCCTTGACGGAATTCTCAGATTTGGACTTTCTTGTCGAAGGCTCTCTTCATCTATTTCTGGTACAACTGACCATGGCACATCGCATTCATGGGCTTCTCTTTGATAAGACTCAGCTGATCACATCTTTCTTGGACCCATTCTGCTTCGTCAAGCTGGTTTTCATCAGTACCCTAAAGGATGGTAACTCTACTTCAATAGGGAGGACCGCATCCATTCCATACACTAATGAGAAAGGAGTTGCCCCTATCAAAGTTTGAACTGAAGTTTTGTATCCATGCAAAGCAAATGGTAGTATTTCATGCCAATCTTTGTAAGTTTTGACCATCTTTTGCAGGATTTTCTTGATGTTTTTATTCGCAACTTCAACAACTCCATTCATTTTAGGACGATAGGGAGAAGAATTATGGTGCGCAATCTT